CGTAATTCACAGAGTTAACACTAATTTTATTGACCAGTAGAAATAATTAAATTCCTTCAATGCAGCAATTCTCAAAATATTAATTAAATTCTTTCAATTCAAATAAATTTCCAAATTTATCAATTAGTCTCATTTACAGGAATAACAATAATTCTTAACAAGAAGGAATAATAATTCAATAAATTTCAATGATTTCTAATTTATCAATTAGCTCTTAAGCTGTAATAAACTATTAAGGTATCGTGTGATTATTATTATTATTAAGCACGATTTCTGCCGAGGACGTACGACCCGATCCAGAGTGTCATGTACACTGCCGAGGGACATGCAGCACGATCCATAGATGCATCTATCCTACCGAGGCGTTCGGCCCGCTCCACAAGAAAGGAGGATATTTTTCTTATGTACCTCCGGAATGAGAGTATGTTTATTATAAGGTAAATTCGAGAGGATGAACAATTTTTTTTAATAATTAATTAATTTAAACAGAAATAAGCATATGAGATTTCCATCTTTTACTATGTCTTACTAAAAATTTACGATATATATCAAATAATGTAATTAAATAACGGATACAATATACACAAGTAATTCATACTTTGAGTCTTAAACTACCCGAACTTTAGCATTAATAGTTGCTACGCACGGACTCTCGTCACCTCGTGCGTACGTAGCCCCCACAATTAGCAACAATTATTAATTTAATTACCTATGGGGTAATTTTTCCCTCACAAGATTAGACAAGAGACGTTACATTGTCTCAATGCCCACTTCCGATCACGATGTTGTGTAAAAATCCCAATTCGGTCCCGAAAATCCGAAACTATCCAAAAGTTATATGAAATAATTAATACATGTTAAATAATTCTAAATTTATCTATTAAAAATAAATTACCCTATCTAAAATGGTAAAATTTTTAAAATTCACCCCGGGCCCACGTGCCCGGATTTCAGAAATTTTCGGAGGGAATCGTTACCCATAATCTCAAGAACTCAAATATACCATTACCATTCAATCCCATAGTAATTTTCGTGGTTAAAATCTAAAAATACCAATTTCTAGGTTTTTCTTCAAAACCCCAAATTTCTACTAATTTCCATGAATTTTCATGCCTAAAATCGTATATAAACCAAGTATTTAACTTGCAATAGGTAGGAATCACTTACCTTGACATAAATGATGAAAATAGAGCTCCAAAATCACTCCTAAGTCGGCTCCCATGGAGGAAATGAGATGAAATGAGCGAAACCCATTTTTTCAAACTTATACACTATCCAAGCGACCCTTCATCGCGTTCGTGAGACCCCCATCTCGTTGGCGATGAACAAATTTCTAAGAAATTATTTTCAAACTCTTCTCAGACAGCCTCTAGTATAATGGTCATAACCTTTTGTACAAAACTCCAGATCACAAATGGTTTGACTTTCCGGAAACTAGACATCTAGGGATATAACTTTCATATGTTGATTATCTCTCAATTCTTTATAGATTTTGAGATATAAGCTGTCAAAGTCAGCCCTGTGAAATATAAATTTCTCCATCTTCTTGGACAGCCTGTAGTGTACCACCCATAACTTTTTGTACACAAATCCATATTCTCAATAGTTTATCTTTCTGAAAACTAGACACAAAGGGCTATAATTTTTATTTTTGGAGTATCTCTAAATTCCTTATAGATTGTGAGATATGAGCCTTCGAAGTTAGACCTGTGGAACAGAAAGTTTCTTGTTCGCGAACGCGAGAATCTCTTCGCGAACGCAAAGAACAAAATCCCAGAAGCCAAATCCTTCTTCACGAACGCGAGAGCATCCTCGCGAATGCGAAGAACAACACCAGACACTAGCATCAGCTATGCAAAACAGCCCGAAATGATCTGGAACCACCCCGAAATACCCCCGAGGCCCCCAGGACCCCGTCCAATCATACCAACCTGTCCCATAACATAACACAAACTTGCTCGAGACCTCAAATCACATCAAACAATATCGAAATCACGAGTCGCACCCCAATTCAAGCTTAATGAACTTTAGAACTTCAAACTTCAATATTCAATTCCGGAACCTATCAAATCACGTCCGATTGATTTTAAAGTTCGCATACAAGTCACATTCGACATTACGGACATACTCCAACTTCCGAAATCAAAATCCGACCTCAATATCAAAAAGTCCGCTTCCGGTCAAACTTCTCAAAAACTTTCAAATTTCTAGTTTTAGCCAAATGACTCCAAAATGACCTACGGACCTCCGAATCGACTTACGGATGCGCTCCCAATTCCAGAATCATCATACGGAGCTATTCCCATACTCGGAATCCCAAACGAACATCGATAACCTTGAAATGCACTTCAATCCAAATTTATGGAATTCTTCCAAAATGCTAACTTCCACAATAGGTGCCGAAACACTCACGAGTTATCCAAAACTCGATACGGACATACGCCCAAGTCCGAAATTATCATACGAACCTGTTAGAGCCTTCAAATTCCGATTCCGATATCGTTTACTCAAAAATTCAACTTTAGTCAATTCTTCCAACTTAAAGCTTATGAAATGAGAATTTTCTTTCCAAATCAACTCTGAACTTTCGAAATTTCAATTCCGACCACGCGTGCAAGTCATAATACCTGAAGTGAAGCTACTCGTGACCTCAAACTGCTGAACGACGCGCTAGGACTCAAAACGACCGGTCGGGTCGTTACACATGAGATCGGCCATCTGTGCACTTCTCCCCTCTTGATAGTTGATTACCACCAGGTGAAGGGCTCAACTCTCAGGTCGGTGAGTAGGCCCTATCTGAAGTCGATAGTGGGCGGCCTCTTGTCACAATGAATAGCCATTTTGTATAGCCACAAGCCCACAAGGAAAGGGAGTAAGTTGTCTTTTTTTTTTTTTCGACATGTACAAAAATAAAAAATAGACATATTTATAACTGGTAATTGAAAAAATACTCACAGTTTCAAAAATAATCGAAATTTAGCTACTTTTTATATAAAGATAAAATCTGAACAAAAACATTCTTAAAAATCCAGAAATATTTTAGCATAATATTCTAGAGTTCGAATTTTTTACATATGATCTTCCAGTATAATATGCTGGAATTTTTATAATATGTTGGAGTTCCATCATAATATGATGGAAGTTTATATACAGGAACTCCATAATCCAAATTAGGAGGATCCATAGTGTTTCCACACTTCCCTCCAGCGTGACTCGAACCCAGGACCTAACGGTCAATCTCGCATATTATGCTGGAACTTTTCGTGTGTTCGAGTTCCAACATAATATGCCGGGAGTTTATACGCAAGAGCTAGGGCTGCTTATCGGGCGGATTGGGCGGTTAATTACTCTTAACGGTTTGGCTTAACGGTTATCGGCTTTTAAATGTATTAATCCGCTAGCCACCCGATAAGATATCGGGCGGATTGATAACGGTTTAGCTCTTATCGGGCGGTTATTGGGCGGTTTATCGGCCTAATTCAATCTATATTGCGTTCATTAATTGTTTGTTGACCGCCTAGCATACAAATTCAGAATAGGAAATTACACATTGAGTCCAGACATACATGTCTGTTAACGCCTACATAAGAATGATGTAGTGTGTCATGTGTTGTAGAGTGAAAAAAGTTGTGGCATAACACTGTTGTTCTTCTATTAAACATAGACAACATGCATTAGTTTTAAAAAAATAAAAGCAGAAGTGAACTATAGACACCATCTTAAATAATCTTGTTGTAGGGTGGGAGAATAAGCTAAGCTAAGCCAAGCCTGGGATCTTCTAATACATAGTACGTAAGGGTTCTGATTATTTAGGAATTAGGCGTTAGAACATAAAGATGGAGTATTGGAAGAAGTGGAAGGGTGTTATATATATATTCTTAACGGGTTAACGGATTATCCGTTAAGAAAATTGAATAATCCGCCCCCAAACCGATAAGCCGTTAATAAAAATATTTCAATTCGTTCCCCGTCCGTTAAACCGTTAACCCGACACCAATAAGCCATTAAGCTTCGGTTTCGGTTCGGTTTTGAACACCCCTAGCAGGAGCTCCATAATCCTGCATATTATATTGGAACTTTCCATGTTTCAGCAAAATAGTGATTATTTTTCAATGACTTCGCAAACGCTGGTTATTTCTATTTTTTTTCCTTGTTTTTATGTTTTTTGGTCTTTATTGGCCAAATATATGCGACCCCTTAAATTTGCCTAATTATTTTATTTAGACTCTTGAACTCGAGTTAGTACCTATCGATCCTTAAACTCATTCACATGTGATTAAACACATTTTGCTAACGTGACAGAATGTGTGTTTTGCACTCTCTGGGCGTGTGTAGTATATAAAAAATGGTTAACTTTTTTATTTTTATTTTTTCTCTTTCTCTGTTTCTAGAAGCTGTCGACCCACCTTGCCAGAAATTTTCTTGTCGGCGGCGAGTTCCATGGCTTCCTAATGCTGCGGATTCGAATTAATCTCTTTCACCTCATACCCTTCTTCTCTAAGTGCCTTACAATTAATCTTGAATCCCTGAATAATAAAACTCACAAGCTTGTCTTATCACGCGCTATGTTTTGTTTGTAAGCAGTCAAAAATGTGTTTAATAGATATACTTATGGAGGAGTTTAAGTGCTCAACAAGTGCTAGCTTGAGTTTAGGTGTCTGAATATTTTTAAGGGATCGCATATATATTTGGCATTTATTTTTGCTAATTCTGTTCCTATTTGATTTAGAAGACAATTTTCTGTTTTGTTTTATGTGAGAAATGTGAAATATTAATTTTATTCTAACAATGCATAAGTGATAATGAAATAGTTACTAAAGTAATAGTTGAAAAGAGAGTAAAACAATTTAATAAATTCAAATTCTTAAAAGCAATAACCGTCGTATAATTGAATAATTTTCAGTGCAGTAGATTGTTTATGTTTTTTGACATAAAATTTACGTACTACATAAAAACTAGTACAGTATATATATAATAGTTAACAAATTAAAATATTTAAATAAAAAATGGTAAAATCTTATTTGAGTTCATTCGTTTTGAAAGGACGTATGGTTTTTGTGGTTCCTTAGGACAATCTTGACCTCTTGGCTAATCGGTCCTCAATTTTGACAATCCTCCTAATGAAGAACCATCTCAGAATGATAAATAATACTGTCCAGCTCGTCTTGCCTTTGTCTTTGCCACTACCGTTGTGGTTGCTGGCTGAGACAATGAAGTTTGGAATGAAAGATATATTCCAGACCCTTCAAGTAATTCATTAATATACTCGGAAACCTCATTTTCTTTTAAACGGGTCTGGAGCAGGTTATCTTGCTGATATTCATACTGAACTTGCTCAGATTCCTCCCAGATAATAGCATTGGAAAGCCTTTCTTTCAATTTTTGCAAGAAATCCTCTGGATCAAAAACCAAAAACGTGTTAGGAGATCGAAAAGGTAAGTCACATATTTAAGAAAATCGAATTAATTAACATAACTAGACGCCATAAGAATCAATATACTCATACTGTTTGCATAGGAGAGAAATCCTACCTGACTGATCGTGCTGGTTGCTAGTCATATCAGGAGAAGAGCTCCCACATCTAACCATGGAAACTCTTTGGATAGGAGAGCGCACGAGTTGTCTTGTATCATGTCTGCATCTCTGTGCATGCGTTATAGTAGCATTCCACATATGATCAGACATTGTTGGGCCAAGAATCTGCAACCGTACAAAATTGTAACAGCATGAAGCACAAGTTGAAGTAATCTCTCTGATAAGGGCGAATGAGTACTCAAAATCGTTTAGATGCTATGCTAACATAGGAAACCAAAATACAATTGAAAGTTTAGTTACTATCAGAAATCAACTTTCTATCTTCACCTATGGATCCTTTATTCCTACTTATTCAATTGAAGTATTTGTCCAACCCAAAAATTGTCTTCAAGATTTAACCAACTAAAGAAGGAGTAATCAACAAATCAAACATGAACAGAGAGTAAAGACACATCAATGTGCTTGCATCGAAGACGTTTGGAAATTTGAACTTTGATGGGAAAATATCTACAGCAGGTTCACCACAAAGCAAATGAAGCAATTATTAGTGATACAAGGAAAGAACTAATTATTACAAGTTCCAGGCGTTGTGAAAGTAAATTTCCAAGGAAGAAGTCAGTTCTTACGCCCCGTAACCTTGCAGCATTTTTGGAGAATTCAGTTAGAAAATCCCCCACTGTTCTGATATCCATTGCAGTCAACTTCTTGTGAAACTGACCATATCTGTAGATCTTTTCGAGTCGCCATACCTCATCAGTTGGTGATGGCGGATCACGTTTCGGGCTTTCTGTGGACACTCAAATGCATCAACTAATCTCTTCTTTTCAGAAATATGAAGAAATATGTTAATCAAGCAAACAAGGATGAGAAAATCGATCCATTTCTCTCTTATAATACTGTAGCAAAATAACAACTAGAAGAATGTTGTTACCTTGTTCTGGGGACTTGAAATGTAAAATCTTGGCAAAGGAGATAGAGAGGAATTAAGAAATAGTAGTACGTACTCAATCGCTTGTCCTTGACAACGAACAATCCTGTCACTGCTTCCTTAATCCGATATGGTAGATCTACCACTCTTGCTCCTAGCCTCACCTTACTTATCTTGGTCCATTGCGCTGTGTGTTTCAGTTTAACTTCACTTGCACAGCCAATGCCTCCTTGCAAATTTAGATAGAGATATTTCCCAGGCACTGAATTTCGAGCTCCTCCGCCACCAATTTGAATATTGGACTCATGAACAGCTGTCCAACTCCCTTGTTTAGGATCAAAGTCCTCATTGAGAACAACAATTTCAACTTTTGCATAGGCTTCAGATCCATATTTATTACGGTTCTCTATAACAGCATCAACTAATTCTATTTCTAAATTGGCAACTATATTTTCCCCAGTATATACCACTGGAGGAATATCCTGTAAGAATCGCAACCGAGAACATGAAATCTGTATTCACAGGGGAAGAAGCATGAGATCATTAACAATCTTTTCATCTAAGAAACAATTAGAAACTGAACATTTGTCGGGCTTATATATCATGACAGGTAAAAATCCTTCCACTACATCTTCACCTTTTAAAACACTAGTTAAGCATGACCTTGTTGGTGATTAAATCAAACCATCAACTACTCGATCCTATCAATTTAATTCATTTTGCTAATCCACAACTTGAATCTCCGTTGCCAATGAAATATCAAGTTGGAGGTTAGAAATAAACTTGAATGACTTGAAAAAGAAAAGGCAGCTTGGTTTGAGGGGGGAATAGGGGCGTTGCCGCCGTTATAGTTACGAGTTCCACAGAATCACATATAGACTCAAAATCATAATAATAGCATAAAATTGAATGTTAATTTCGCTTAGTAAATATATAGTAACTAACCTATCATCACATGTTAAACCATAATAATAGCATAAAATTTTACACACTTGTGTATATAACTTAAATAAGAACTCCTCTGCTAGCTGATTAATTAACAAGCAATCATTCTCACCGTAGAAGGATTTGAAGCCTGTAAAGAAGCGACGCGCCGGCGCCGGAGCTTACCAAGAATCACCACAATCCTTATCGCCCTGAACAAGAAATTAAAGACCAGAAAAGAACAAAATATTCAAAGTCAACGTACTTCTAGCGTCAGTATCAAAAAGGACTGCCATCACATGCACCCAATACTTTTCGTTTTTCAATAATTTAAAAAAAAAAAAAAAAAAAAAAAAAAAAAAAAAAAAAAAAAAAAAAAAAAAAAAAAAAAAAAAAAAAAAAAAAGGACCCACCAACTAATAATTGACAAAATGTTACTCTTAAGATTCGAACATAACGCATATTCATCGCATCCCGTTGATTTGAACTTCAAGTACCAAAACAACTATATATAGATATTTAAGTACTGAGAAGGCAACAACTGATCAAAATTGGCGAATTAAGTAAAACCCACTATTTCTTTCGATATGTAATATGGATTTCATATACATATGCATCGTGCATGTTGCATGTACTTTTAAAAGAAGATTTGCCTTATATACATTGAGAAGTTAAACTCTTTGAAAGAAATATGAAGCTTTACCTTCTAAAAATAGGAGATTTAACGTTGTTCCTTTGATATCCTGTATCTCCATATTTGAACTGTCCAATATTCTGCAACATAGTTCTATTTTCAGTTAGTTCAAGTAAGAGTTGATGAACAAAGCAACACTTTAGGAAATACTGCGGAGTGGCGCTTTCTAGGATTCTTAAAATTTATTTGTAGGATCTTCTAAAGTAGTATATATGACGCGTGAGGACCCCAACATCCACACAACGCGTCAAGAGTGTTTTTTCTTTTTCTTTTGGGTACATCACGAGCGTTTTAATAATATATCAAAAAAGAAATTCTAAAAATGAAAGGGTAAAATTTAAAAGAAAAATAAAAACAAAAATATAAAAGAATAAATCAAGAAAATTAGAGAAAACATCACTCTCTTGACGGCTGCGACTACATAGATAGCCAATTTTGGGACCCCTATTTACTGCATAGTCAAGTTTTTGTAAATTTAGTGATTTTCAGAATCAATTTCAGATATAGGTGACTAAAGTGTTAAGAATATTGTGTAGGGTAAAATATGATATGCTAAGTGGCCGCTTAAGAGAGTGACACGTGGAGTCGAAACGGAGGATAGTTAAGGCCGAAGGCAACTGTTCTGCTTGTCACCGGAAAGAATGACGCTCGTAAAGATCACTACTAAAAACTGGCTAATTTCGTTCAGGAAAATCGACCGAAATCAGTCGGAAATTGAGAAAAAGCAACCGATTTTCGACCGCTTTTAATTAGTCGGAAAAATGATGGTCGCTAAGGTGTTTCGACCAAAATCGGTCGAAAATTTCCGACCGAAATTGGTCGAAAATTTCAATGCGTTGACTAACAGTCAAACTACATTTACCGACCGAAATCGGTCGATATTAATTAATTTTTTTAAATTTAATTTTCACAATACCGACCGAAATCGGTCGGAATTAATTAAATTTTTTATTTTTATTTTTCAGATACCGACCAAAATCGGTCGGAAATTTAAATATATAATAATTTTAGAAATCTTCCAGATATATATATTTTTTTGTATCGCATGTATACTCCCCAACTCGAGATATCATAGCACCACAATATTATATCTTATTACTATATTACTAATTAATAGTAGTATATATTATCATTATTATTTTATTGAATTCTAATTCTAAAAATAGAATATTAAATCTTATTACTAAGCACTAACTACAACCCTTCTTATATTTGCTTATTTTTTGTCAGTCCACAACTGTTGGACTCTATGCATCAAAGCTCAACTTATAAGAGGTAAAAACTCACATCTTTCAACCGATGTGGGACAAGAGTATTTCCTAATTTTCGACAGAAATCCGTCAGAATTTTTGAAAAATTTTAATAAAAAATTATTTTCCCATTTCAGCCGATATGGGACAAGAACATAATTTTAAATTCCGACCGAAATCGATCGAAATTTTTGAAACCTTTTAATAAAAAATTATTTTGCCATGAAAAAACCCACTACTTCTATTCCCATGGAATATTTATTTACTAATCTATCAATTTTATTATTTGTTTGTTTCTTTCTTTTTTATGAAAAAAAGAGTGCATTAAATAAGGATTCCATAAATCAATAAAAAATTATTTCAAGTGAATAGAAATATGATTACATTTTAATGTAAAAATATGCTTAGTTATTTTTTCTAAAATTTCATTTATAATCCTNAGAAAATCATAATTTCAAATATTCCGACCGAAATCGGTCAGAAATTTTGAAAGATTTTAATAAAAAATTATTTTTGTATATTATATACAAGTATGACCAGGTCTTGGTCAAATATTGACCAATATCCGACCGAAATCGGTCGGAATTTTTATTTTTTTGCCGTGGGACCACTATTTCCGTTGTGAGAAATATTTTCTTTGACTTTTGTGACCAATTTACTTAATTTCCGACCGATTTCGGTCGGTATTCTTTGGACGAATTTTACCAGTTTTCTAGTAGCGGATGCAATAAATACCTTCCGTCCGGTAGCATTTAATGGAGAATATTCCACAGCATTTAGTACACTATCTGTTACAGAGAATTCGTCATTGCTCACCGTTACACCTTATTCATTGACCCTCATAGTTGACATTAAAGAAGGGCATGATCCTAATACCTTGTTTCCTAGGTACAACTATAAATAGTGAGCTCTATTGTCATTGTAAGGGACACGAATTTTCTGGCAAACTTATGCTATAATCAATTCAAAACTTTATACAATTTTATCTTCTTATTCCTTGATTTCATTGCTGTTGTGCCCAGAAGTCCTACTCCCGGAACCACTGTTTCTACTATTTTATATATCTTCACTTCAAGGCTAAATATTGCGTATTTTTTCAATTGTTTTATTATTTCAGGATTAAATTAATTCACTTATCTAGAAACCACGTATAAATTCAACTGTGCCATTTTATGGGTAAACAGTTTGGCGCCCACCATGGGGCCTAGACAACCGTGTAATTAAGTTGATCATTGCCTCTTTTACTAACGTGTTTTGATTATTTGTCTTAGCAAAAAAAAAAGAAAAAATCAAAAAATTACAGATAACGGTGTTAACAACACACACAATCTTGAGGCCCAAGGAGACCAGCCTCATCACGAGGATTCAGTCATTGACACCAACAATGAGGGGAACGAGTCACCAACAAGGAGGCGACTCCCGATGACGCTGAAGAGGAGCAAGTCGTTGAAGCAGTAATAGTCCTGCAAGAGCAACAAACGGCCATTCTGGGTCATCTCACACGGCAGGTGTCACGACCCAAAATTTTATCACAGGAGTCGTGATGGCACCTAGTATCTAAGACTAGGTAAGCCGATTTTCATTGCATTTTTGAAGCCATATTTTTTTTAATTAAATAAGTAACCAAAACTAACAGTGGAAATAATTACAATATACAACCTCCCAAGACTTGTAGTACTGAGTCACTACTCTAACTGAATACATAGAATGATCACGGGGACCGAATATACAATACTGTTTGATTACAAGTTAACAGTACAATGAAATGAAAGGACTCCAGGGAACTGCGACGATCAAGCAGCTCTACCTTGAATTCTTACGATCCCGCTTTAACTATGCTCAAGTCCGATATCTTCAATACCTGGCTCTGCACAAAAATGTACAGAAGTGTAGAGTGAACACACCACAACAGTGCCCAGTAAGTATCAAGACTAACCTCAATGGAGTAGAGACGAGGTACAGTCAAGACACTCACTAGTCTAATAACCTGTGCAATATAATATACAAAATAATAGAAAATAAATAATAATAATAATAATAAAGGCAAGATAAAACAACCAGTGATATGCACAACAGACAACAAGAACACCACTAATATCACTCAATAATTAATAAACACAATTACACCCAATTAAATCAAGCTCTTCAAATAAATGTCTTTCACATAGTTATTCCAGATAACTCTCTTTCAAATATAATTCTCTTAAATAATTATTTTTCAAATATAATTCTTTCAATAAATCTTTTCAAATACAATTTCCTCAAATAAATATCTTTCAAAATACAATTCTTTTATATGATACTTTCTAAGTAAAAATCCTTTCAAATAAATATTTTGAATATAATTCTTTCAATTAAAAAGTCACCATGTGATACCTCATTTTAAAATTATTAAAATACGGGTCTCAGCCCATTTTCATATTTTCACGGCACCTCGTGCCCATAATTAAATTGTCATATTTGCCCGGCACCTTGTGCCCTCATTTCATATCATAACTGCACGGACAATTCATGTGCCAATATCCCCATTTTATATCACAATTCACGGCACCCCGTGCCCACATTTCATTTTATAAACCGTCTGACAATAGCCACAGGCTCCCAATTTCAACAAAATCAAATTATTATCAATTTACTAACCACAAGACAAGTTGCACAAGGTATAAAAATAAGCACAATAAAATCACAACATCACATGAAAATTTTTAACACCACAACCCTACATCATCACATATCGTCCCTGACAATAGCCACCCTTATCACTCCTATTGCCACCCTTATCGCTCCTATAGCCACCCTTATCGCTCCGCCCAGACAATATCAATAGCCAACAAACACAACAGTGAAATGCCACCCTTATAACCACATAATATCAACGGTGAAATGCCACCCTTATCTCCCCAAAATAACAACTCACACAACACAATAATTTATACGGAAAATTATCACAACAACATAACAAAAATTAATTTATATCACAATTTTGCCCAATGGCCACAACCAAATTTCAAAGCTACAATCGAGGCCTAGGATCGAGGACATCGATCGAAGGCCAAAATTGTAATGACCCAATCGGTCATTTTAACTTTTAGAACCCTGTTCCCTAAAATAAAACTTCCCGTAGGTACTTGTAATAATTTATGACTTGCGGGGATGGCTGGTTAGGGATTTGGAAGTGTTTAGGGTGAAACCGGAACATTTGGTTCCTTAAGTTGGCCTTAAAGTGCTAAGTTTGACTTCGGTCAACATTTTGAGAAAATGACCCCGGAATAGAATTTTGATGATTCCAACAGCTCCGTATGGTGATTTTGGACTTAGGAGCGTGTTCGGAATTTTATTTGGAAGTCCGTAGTTAAATTAGGCTTGAAATGGCTAAAAACAAGAATTTAAGTTTGGAAGTTTGACCGATTAGTTGACTTTTTGATACAGGAGTCGGAATCCAGTTCCGAAAATTTTTATAGCTCCGTTATATCATTTATGACTTGTGTGTAAAATTTGAGGTCAATCGGAGTTGATTTGATAGGTTCCGACATCGAATGTAGAAGTTAAAAACTCTTATTTTCATTTAAGCTTGAATTGGGGTATGATTCATGGTTTTAGCATTGTTTGATATGATTTAGAGGTTCGACTAAGTTCGTATGATGTTTTAGGACTTGTTGGTATATTTTGTTGAGGTCCCGAGGGTCTCGGGTGAGTTTCGGATGGTTAACGGATCAAAAATTTGAGTTAAAAAGCTGCTGCAATTTTTCCTCTTCTGTTGGACATTCTGGGCTGTGATCGAGCCTAGATATCGAGCCAGATATCGAGCCCAGGTATCGAGCCCAGGTTTGACGAGGTACAGGCTTGAGCTAGTATATCAAATCCATGATCGAAGGTCCAGCTCGAG